TCGCTGAACTTCGGATTCCGTCGTGGTTCGTCCCGGCGAAACGCGGACACCGCCTTGATCACTGTTCCCAAGTGCGTGGTGTGTCAACGGAGCGCAGTGGATCCCGCCTCGGACGGCGATGTTGTGCTGCTTGTCGAGGATGTCTCCGATCTTGCGCGGACAGATCCCTTCGATGTTGAACAGCACGACAGGGGTGCGTCCCTCGATCCCATCGACGCCGTAGATGATCGCGTTGTCGATGGAGCGGAGTCCATCGAGGATCTTCTTCGTGAGATTCATCTCATGTTCGTGTGCTTCAAGTGTGAGTGCATCCATCGCCGCGTTGAGACCCGCGAATCCCACAGCATTCGAAGTCCCTGCTTCCAACGCATCTGGGAGCTGCGTTGGCATCTCCAGACCAGGAGCGGTGGAACCTGTCCCGCCTCGGCGTTCACAGAACACCCTCGCTTCATCCTTGGCGCAGTTGTCAGGAAACGCTTTGCAGCTCAGATACAACGCGCCGGTGCCGGTAGGACCTCCTAACCCCTTGTGTCCTGCCACGGCGAGCAGATCGATGCCTATCGCTTGCACATCGATCGGGATATGTCCCAGTGTCTGCGCCGAATCCACAAGGACCAAGGCATCGGGAGCGACTTTGCTAACCGCTTTAATCGCTTCTTCAATTGGTTGGATCGTACCCACTGCGTTTGATGCATGGGTCAGACACACAAGCGCTGTGCAAGGCGTGCACGCGTCCGCGAGTGCTTGCGGATCGGTGTATCCACGCTCATCACTCTGGACGAGGACGAGTTCGATTTTATTGTCCGATGCATAGCAGTGGAGGGTCCGCAGCACCGCGTTGTGCTCTACGACCGACGAGACAATCCGGATCGGATCCTCACAGCCATGGCGCTGCGCCGCTCGGATCACGCCATGGATCGCTAGATTGAGCGCATCGGTGCACCCATGTGTGAGCACTACGCGAGAAGGGCTCGGTGCGTTAATGAGTCTCGCGATTTTGAAACGAGATTCTTCGACCACATCTCCCGCTGCACGCGAGAGCTGGTGACCCCCTCGTCCAGGATTCCCGGCTTTGGTCCTGATGAACTCTGCCATCGCTTCGCCCACAGACTCATGCTTGGGCCAACTTGTCGCGGCGTTATCAAGATACAGGAACGGTCGATTCGGATCAGCCATGAAACCCTCTCGTATACTGGTAGACACGCATCATATTCCAGATTGCTCAATGATGCGTGTGAAAAACCTCCGGAGTTCAGCATGAAAATCGCCGTCATCATCCCCGCCGCAGGCATGTCTTCCAGATACAACGCAAACAACGCTGATGGCGCTGATCCGCTCGGGATGTCCCGCTCAAAGCTGGATGAGGATCTTGGAGGCAAGACCGTGCTCCAGCGGACTGTGGAGCTCTTCAACACACACGAACTCGTCCATCAGGTGATCGTCGCCGGACCGCATGATCCCGAAGCGATGAGCGCATTCAAACTCCGTCACGCGGATCGTTTGAATCTTCTCGGAGCTGAACTCGTCGTTGGTGGAGAGCGTGAGCGTTGGCAGAGCGTGCAATCAGCGCTCAAGTCAGTCAATGCAGAGGCAACTCATGTCGCGATCCATGATGCCGCTCGTCCCGCGACTCCTCCAGCGCTCATTGACCGCGTGTTTGACGCCGCGTCTCGCTTTGATGCCGTGATCCCAGTTGTTCCAGTATCGGACACTTTAAAGCGTGTGAGCTCTGATCCGATCGATGACAAATCTGAAGCGGACCCGCTCGCGGCGATTCTCGGCGCTGGAGATTCGAATCCGATGCACGAAGTGGCTGAGCAAGTTGATCGGAACGATCTCGTGAAAGTTCAAACGCCACAAGTTTTCAGTATTGAGCTGATCACACGCGCCTACACGCAGGATGATCTGTCGTCCACAGATGATGCAGGTTTAGTCGAGCGTCTCGGAGAGCAAGTGGTCACTGTTGTTGGTGATGAGCGCAACATGAAGCTGACACGATCGGGAGATTTACCGATCCTTCGCGCCATCATGAAAGTACACGAACCAAAGGCGCGTGCATCGCACAAGAAGTTCTGAGCTACTTGAGCTTGCTGGCGCAGTACAACCCCATCGAGATCACCATGCGCTTCGAGTCAGGTTTGCGAGGCTTGTTTGCCATGAGTTCGATGATCGCATCGATATGCTCGTTGAGCTCAGCGAGTTCTTCATCATCGAGCCAACCTGCAGGTGAACCCACCATCACATCACGATGAGGAACTGGGAGGATCGCGTCGCCTTGATCGAATGATTTAGTGATCTTTTGACCAGTGTCTTTGAGGGAAGCACGAGCAAACTCGCCCAACGCTTCAACCATCTCAGGCTTCCGAGGTCGGTAGCGCATGAACTCGAGTTTGGTGGTGTACACCTTCGCATCGCGTCTAGAGGTGCTCTTGGTGCCGATATCAAGCAGCAAACCGACCTCGACGAGTTTGTCGATGTGTCTGTACAGGGAAGCGGGCTTCTTGCCCATCTGCTCAGCAATCTCCCTGATCGACGCCTCGCCTTGGCTGAGAACCACCTGGTGGATCTCATGACGCATCGGAGAGCACAACGCTCGAATTTGATGGGGGCAATCTATCGTCTGGTCATCTGGTGGTCGTTTGAAAGCCATGCTTTAGAATAGTCGACAAAATAATTTGCAAACTGTTGCAATTGCAAATTAAATCTGTATACTCGATCACACGGGCAACCACGAACTCGGCCCGCACACACATTGGAGGAAACATGAACACCACACGCTTCGCGTGCGTGCTTGGGATCGCGATCGTTGCGTCAGCCCTGCACGCCCAGACCGTTACTGACGAATTCGAAACATATCCAGTGGGCGCATTCCCGGCTGGGGATTGGAGTGACATCACGGATCGCACAGTGGGGAGCCCGACAGTATCTCCAACGATGACCATCATCGAAACACTCGATGCTGATGGGAATCCAACACGAGCCGTCCAGACCAATCAAGAGCCTGGAACGAACGGGTTCTACCAGAATGTCTCCACGGCGACTTCAAGCCACAGAGTCACTATGGATGTTCGAGTTGATTCCATGCACTCAGCAAATGCCGGCTGGCCCGTCTCCGTGGGGTATTCAAGATACTTAGGGCAAGATGATGTCAACGCCAATCCGCAGGGATTGATCTATGTCTGGACTGGTCGGGTTTGGAATCTTTTCATCGCGCCAGGTGGTGGACGGCCTGCAGTTGATCTGCGATTAAATGGTCCACAACTCGTTCTTGGTCATTGGTACACAGTAACGCTGGATGTCGATGTAGAGCTCGGAAGATTCACGGCAGAAGTCCGAGACGCCGCGACGGGAGTGCTCCGCAACTCACTCATCCACAACTATACGCAGTGGAATCCTGCAATCGACTCATTCAACTCAATCACAGTTTTTGACGGCGGAAACACAAGCTCGCCTTTGCAAGGACAAGCGACAATCGACAATGTGGTGTACACATCCTCACCAACAGAGCCTTGTATTGCGGACTTCCAGCCGGATGGATCATTGAACTTTCTTGATGTCTCGGTGTATCTCACAGCGTTCACCAATCAAGATCCAGCGGCTGATCTCACAAATGATGGTGCTTGGAACTTCCTGGACATATCTGCGTTTCTTTCCGCGTACAACGCCGGATGTCCATAAGAAGCTCATTCTCAAAATGATGCTCTCTTAAACACAACAACCGGCGATTTGCATCGCCGGTTGTTGATTCAATTCGGAATGGTTTTTCAGTAGCGACGGATCACGCCGCGGACGATGCCTTGGATCTGACAGAACTGCACACGGATTGGTTCAAAGTCCGGATTCGCGGGCTGCAATCGGATGTGGTCCGCTTCCTTGTAGAAGGTCTTGAGCGTGGTTGATCCGTCCTCGAGCAACGCAACCACGCGATCGCCGTTGGATGCGACCTGGGCGCGCTGGAGGAGGATGAGGTCGCCGTCAAGGATGCCCTCGTCGCGCATGGATTCACCATCGACGATGAGCGCGAAGGTTGATCCTGAATCATCAACCGCTCCGAGAAACTCGACGAGATCGACTTCGTCCGCGTCTGCGACCTTCTCGATTGGGTAACCCGCCGCGATCTTCCCGACGAGTGGGTACTTCATCGGACGCGACTCGTCAGGAACCGCGATCCCCTCAGCAATCGACAAAGAGCGTGCCTTGTTCGCTTCGCGAATCAGCGCGCCTTTTTTGATCAGTGCTTCGACGTGCTCGAACACTGTGACTTTGCTGACGCCGATTTCGTCCGCGAGCTCTTGCATCGTCGGGGAATAGCCACGGCGAATTCGTGAATCGCGGATAAGTTGGAGAATTCGGAGCTGCTTTGGAGTGAGATTCATGGTTCTGATCCTTCCGATTGCTTGTGCCGACAGTGGTTTGAGCTGGAGTGCGAGATGCACCGGTCATTTGATCAGCCGTTGTCTGGAGTCGGCTGCGTTGGGATTTCATCAGTCGCTGTCCGCTCACGAGCATGCCGAGATCGAGCATCCTCTGGCGCCGAGCAACACTTACCAATCCATCATCAGATCCACGATCCAATGATCCCCCTTGCAAAGAGCTCCCGGGGCGGAGCACGAGTGACCCGATCGCGGCGTGATGATCGTCATACTCGAATGCATAATCGCCGCCAGGGCCGAGTTTGAGAAGTGGTGCGTGTGTCATTGGAATACTCGATTCTTCAACTGGTCTGTCCTCGACACGAACGGCTCATGTCTCGGTTGGTACCAGTTTGATCGGGTCTTCCAAAGCTGAACAAACACCTTTTACTCAACCAATGTTCGGTCAACGATAGCCGATCATCAACCGATCGGCAAGGGCAAATCGCGTTTCTGCAGAGATTCGGACGAAAAGTACCCCAAAATCGGGGTTATCGGGCACAAAAAATCCCGGCGCAAATCCTGCCGTGACCCGAACAAACCATCGGTTATCGGGTCATGTCCGGAAGATCGCACACAGTTTCATCCTCAACGAGTCCGCTCAAAGCGTGCGCCAGAACGCTTGATGCGCCCTTGGATCTCCAGCATCGTTGCCGATGCACGGAGCGAGCCGGGATCGATGTTCAGCAGCTCACTCAACTGATCCCCAGTGCGAGGCTCATCCAGCGCTTCGAGGATACGTCGGCTCAGCGGATCAAGATCCCCAATCGGTTCAGGTTTGGGTTGCTGCATGAGAGTGGGGGACTTGTATGCGATTGGATCTCTCGCTCCTTGTTTGAGTGATCCGGCGCTGCGTTCGAGGATCTCGATGATCTCCCCCGGCTCACTGACCAGATGCGCCCCACCTGACTTGAGCAGCTCATTGCTCCCTCCCGAAGCACTCGAGTCCACGCGTCCTGGGACTGCGAACACCTCGCGTGCGTGATCCTCGACCGCGTGTCTAGCAGTGATGAGCGCGCCTGATCGGCGCGACGCTTCGATGACCAATACTCCAAGCGAGAGTCCAGAGATGATCCGATTCCGAGCCGGGAAGTTTTCGCTGCTTGGCGGGGTATGGAAGGGGAGCTCAGAGATGATCGCGCCGCCTTGCGCGACAACACGATCAAACAGCTCAGCGTTTTCCTTTGGATACACATGACCCAATCCACATCCGAGGACGACGAGCGTTTTCGCTCCAGCGTCGAGTGCTCCGCGATGCGATGCGGAGTCGATCCCTCGCGCGCCGCCGGAGACGATGGTGAATCCCGCGTTCCCGAGTGATCGTGCGAATCGCGTTGCTTGTTCCGTGCCATAGATCGTGCACTTGCGTGATCCGACCATCGCGATGGGATGCTGGAGTATGGCGGGATCGAGTGAGCCCTTAAAACGAAGAATGGGTGGAGCGCCTGGGATCACGCGCAGCAGCGATGGATACCAGTCGTCCATGACAGACACGATCGAAGCGCCCGCTTCATCCAGAGTTTCCAGTTCCTCATCCACACGCTGCGACACATCCGCTCGGCGCTCGATGATGCTCGAAGCGGTCTGTGAACCGATCCCTTCGATGCATTTGAGTTGACTGAGTGACATGCTGAGCACTTGCTCAGCAGATCCAGCGGTCCTGATGAGCCGATCGATGCGAACTGGTCCCAGTCCAGGAATCAGCGTCAACGCGAGGAGATCACGCGTTGCTTGACTGGCTTGGTGTGCGGACATCATTCGAAGGATTCGACGAGTTTGAGTGGCGCGTAGCCCTTGCCTTTGGTCTTCTCATCAAAGTCCAGTATGCGTCCGACGACCTCGAGTTCGGTGTCCAGACGCACGCGTGTGAGCACGCGCATCAGCACAATCTGTTGTGTGTAGACATACGCGGGATCGGGTTTGCGGATCGTGACGAACACGCGCTTGCCTTCAGGGGTGCGTTCCGTTGAGTCGAGCCGGAGCGACCATCCAGGGGATGGGGCTTGCATGACGATCATGTGGAACTCTTCGTCATCCTCAAGCACGATTTGTGGCGCGTTCTGGAGACGCGCCGCCGCGTCCTCATCGCGCTCCCAGATCTTCTGGATGCATCCCGAGATCGCGAGCATACAAATCAGGCCCAAACCGATCAGCACGGCGTGCTTTGGTCGAATGTAAAGGGCCGATCCGACGGCGTTCGTTTGGTTGTCCATACACAATCTCCCAAGTGTTCGTCTTGTGTATGGTAGTGGGAGGGAATGCTCCATGCAACCAGAAAGGCGCTGGGAGCTGATTTAAGCGTAGGTATCGAGCACGCGTCCTGTTGCCGGGATCATCTGCTGATGGAGCCGGATCTCGTGCGCCGCGACCTTCGGACGAGGCTGAGGATCGACGATCTCACCAAGTTTGGGGAGCAGCGGAGTCGCTTGGGCAGCGTCTGTTTGAGCTTTGCAGGCTTGTGAAAGATCCACCAAATCCTCGATCTTGCGATTCGCTTCGAGGAATCGGTGGTACGGCACAGTCCCAGGAGCAGCGGTATACGGATCCCGCTGAGGGACATCCCGCTCGCATCGCACGATGGGCGTGATGAGGTGTCCATTCTGACTGCTGCAGACGCGCATGCCAGTTAAGTGGCGAACATCGTGCCTGACACAGTCCAAAGTGCATCGTCCGAGAGAATCCTCAATGCGGCACAAATCTTGGGGATAGTTGAGCTCAGTAGGTTCAGTTCCAGATTCGGATCATGCCGCGTGTTGCATAGGAGCAACAGTGGTTGATGCGTAACATCCTCTCGATGCGCACCGATGAACTCGATTTCGAACTCCCCGATTCGCTGATCGCGACGATGCCCGCTGAGCCTCGCGATTCGTCGCGTTTGCTTGTCGTGTCGCGTTCGGATCCGAGTGTGCTGGAGGATCGAGTCTTCTCGGACTTACCCCAACTGCTCGCACCCAATGATCTGCTCGTTTTTAACCGCTCCAGTGTTCTCCCGGCTCGATTCCAAGGGAGCAACATCGAGACCGGCGGTGGATTCGAGGGGTTGTACCTCCACGATGCGCCGCAGAGCAGTCCTGAGAGACTTCTTTGGATCGCGTATGTCAAAACGAAGCGACCACGCGTGGGTCGCCGAGTGGGATTGGTCGATGCGTCTGGGAATCCGACGGGTGTCGTCGCAGATTTTGTCGAGCCATACCCAGAAGAAGGACCAGGCGCTTGGGTGCTCGAGATTAGCGGTTCAGATGGACAATCCAGTGATGAGGTGCTGACTCGTATCGGAGGGACTCCACTCCCGCCGTACATCTTGTCGCAGCGGAAAGCAAGGGATCAGCACATCGACGATGCGACGGATCGTCGCTTATATCAGACGATGTACGCATCGCAGGAGGACTCTGGATCTGTCGCCGCACCCACTGCGGGATTGCACTTTACCAATCGTGTAATGGATGGATTGAAAGAACAGCGTGTACAGACGAGCGAGGTGGTCCTCCATGTCGGCGCTGGAACATTCAAACCCATCGATGCGGAGCGTCTCGAAGATCACGACATGCACAGCGAGCGATGCTCGATGGGATCGGCGCTCGATCAGTTCTCGCAAGGCAAACCAACAACTGGACGAGTCTTCGCCGTCGGATCAACCAGTGCTCGCACGCTGGAGAGTTTCGCGCACATCTATGAAAGTGGGGGGGCACTGGATCAACCCATCGATACTCGGATTCTGATCTCGCCGGGTTATCGATGGCGTTGGGTCGATGGCATGCTGACCAACTTCCATCTCCCACGATCAACGCTCATTGCGATGGTTGCGAGTATTCTGGATAATGATGGACAGCATCCAGGGATCGAGCGCGTGCAGCAGATCTATGCACACGCGATCCACAACAAGTACCGATTCTACAGCTACGGCGACGCGATGCTCATCTTGCCGTAGTCCAAGTCCGCGAGGCATGTGGTATGGTGTTGGAAAGTACGCAAACGCCGTCAATTTAGACGATAATGGGGATCATTGATCGGAAATTGTCCATGGAACTGAGCAGACTCATCGAAGGCATCGAGCTGGAACCGATCGAGGGATCGGATGCTGATTATGCTGTGCGCGTCTGTGATCTGACGGAGGATTCGCGGACCGCGATGCCGGGATCTTTATTCATCGCGCGAGCAGGGACCAAAGACGAGGGCGCCAAGTACATCGATCAAGCCGTCGCGGCCGGCGCCGTTGCGGTGGTGACCGACAATCGTGATGCAAAGGCACCAGAGGGGCATCATCCCGCGATCCTGTACACCCCCGATGCGTGCGGCATCGGCGCCAAACTCGCAGAACGCTTCTATGGACATCCGAGCGATCAACTCGCGATCGCTGGAGTCACAGGAACCAACGGCAAGACCACCATCGCGCACCTGACTCAACAGATCGTCAAGAACGCGCATATCAATCACAAACGCATCAAGTGCGGCTTGATCGGGACTGTTCAGATCGACGACGGCCGAGAATGCAGCGCGGCGCCGATGACGACCCCTCCCGCGATCGAGCTGAGCCGAACACTCTCGACGATGATCGAGCATGGCTGCAGCGCCTGCGCGATGGAAGTGTCGAGTCATGCACTCTCGCAGAAGCGGACTTATGCATTGTCAATCGATGCCGCGGGGTTTACGAACCTGAGTGGCGATCATCTGGACTATCACAAAACGATCGAGTCCTATACCAAAGCAAAGGCGTCATTCTTTGAGCACCTCTATCCAGGATCACTCGCGCTGATCAATATCGATGATCCCGCTGGTCAAGTGATGATCGATGCGTGCGATGAAGGAGTTGATATCCAGCGCTGCTCGTTGAGTGATCCCGATGCGGAGTGGTCCCTTGAGATCCAGTCCAGATCGCTTGATGGGATGATGCTCAAGATTCGCACGCCGATTGGGGATCTGAAATCAAGCATCCCGTTCTTTGGGGGCTACAACGCGAGCAACACACTCATCTCAATGGGATTGTCCTCTCGATTGCTCTCGAAGATCGGGATGACGGATCAGCAAATTCTCGAGCACTGGTCGCATGCGCTGCCGCAGCTCAAACTCCCGAGCGGTCGATTGGAGCGTGTGCACACAAGCAGCGATGATCTGCGAGTCTTCGTGGACTTTGCGCACTCAGACGACTCGATCCGCAACTGTTTGGATGGTGTCAGAGCCGTGCTTCCTGATGGTGCGAAGCTCTGGTGTGTCTTCGGATGCGGCGGAGATCGGGATCGGACAAAGCGACCACGCATGGGACAAGCCGCGTGCAACGGCGCGGATCGTGTAGTGTTGACAAGCGACAACCCACGCAGCGAGAAACCTTCGAGGATCGTGGACGATGTGCTCGCGGGTCTTGATCAATCCCAACGCGATCGTGTCGAGGTCCAAGTGGATCGGGCGCAAGCGATCCGTTTTGCGATCGAGCACGCACAAGCCGGCGATGTAGTTATCATCGCAGGGAAGGGGCACGAACCAGAACAGATCATCGCGGACCAGAGCGGACGATTGGTGCATCACGAGTTTGATGATCGTGTCCATGCGCGCGAAGCGCTCGATGAACGAAAGGCCAGATCAGAGGTGAATGCATGAGTTTGTTGGACTGGGACATCATCCAATCCGTAACCAATGGACAGTGGGCCGTTGCGCCGCAGGAGAATGCGGCGACTCCGACTGGGGTCGCAATCGATACGCGAGAACTCAAGCATGATCAGATCTTCGTCGCGTTTGTGGGCCAGCGCGTTGATGGCCACGACTATCTCCAGCAAGCAAAGTACCAAAGTGCGTCGATGTGCATCATCACGAACGCTTCGAGTGTTCCCGATGCATTCGATATCCCGACGCTTGTGGTGGATGATGCTACAGTCGCGATGACCCAACTCGCGGCGCACTGGAGATCGCTCCTCGCCGGGACAGTCATCGGCGTGACGGGTTCCAACGGCAAGACTACCACAGCAAGACTCATCCATTCAGTGCTCAATCAAGCGGGTGATGCGTGGGTGTCCTCCAAGAGTCACAACAACGCGATCGGTGTCCCGATATCGATCCTCAACACACCGATCGATGCACGCTTCGCGATCTTCGAGCTCGGGACCTCTAGCCCTGGCGAGATCGATGCACGCGCCCAACTCGTAAGCCCCGACATTGCGGTCATCACTTCGATCGGCAGAGCGCACCTCGAAGAACTCGGATCCATCCAAGGCATCTGCGAAGAAAAAGCAAGCATCCTGCGCCACACCACACAGCGTGCCTTCATCCCTGAAGGAGTTCCAGAACTCGATGCTGTGGTTGATGCGTTGGGATTGGAAATCCAGATCCAACGAGTCGGTCCGGAACTGGTGAAAGTCCTTGAGGCCACCGATCAGCGTGTGTCATTCGAGGTCGATGGATCAGAATACGAAGCGCCAGTTCCCGGCGCACACAATGCGCACAATGCCGCACTCGCTGTACTTGTGGGTCGATCGTGGGGAATGACCAATCGTGATATTCGAGAAGGATTATCAAAGGCATCCCTCCCAGAGATGCGTCTGGATCGCGTCGAGATCCCAACCCAGTATGATCCGATTGTGATCTATAACGACGCGTACAACGCGAATCCTGATTCGACTCGAGCCGCACTTGAGTTCTTCCGTACACTGCACACGCAGAACCCTCGCGTGATCATCCTGGGAGATATGCTCGAGCTGGGTGGCGCGACAGAATCGGAGCATGCTTCGATGATGGAAGTACTTCAAGGTATTGAAGCACGCAATGTGCTTGTCGGAGAGCACTACAGCAATGCGAGCAATGGTCAATTCGAGTGCTACCCGAATCCGGACGACCATGCGATAAGTGAGTTGGCGAGAACCATCAATCCTGGAGACATGGTCCTGCTCAAAGGCTCCCGCGGGATAGGTCTTGAGCGTTTGGTGTATATCCTCATCAATCGCTATACGCCGTATGCGAAAGCAGCGGTAGCTCCGATCTCAAGTGTGGGTGATGCTGATTCATGATCTATATTCTGCTCGACATCATCCGGGGCTGGCTTGTTGACAACGGCTTGTACTTCTACTTCCGTGTGTTCGACGAGATCCAGTTCCGCACACTTGCCGCAGCGGGTCTGTCGTTCGCGATCGTGGTGTTTATGGGAAAGCGTGTCATCCGCATGCTCATCAAACTCAAGATCGGTGATGCGGGAGAAACCGACGCGGCGCTTCTGAGAGAGCATGCCGCGAGCAAGGCGAATGTCCCAACAATGGGCGGCATCTTGATATGCGGTGCGATCTTCATCTCAAGCTTTCTCCTCGCGGATATCCGAGTGAATCTCGTGTACACCGCACTGTTCACGCTCCTCTGGATGACCGCAGTGGGGGGGGCGGACGATTACCTCAAGCTGACCGCTTCACGCCGAGGGACTGGTCGTCAGGGCCTTTATTCATGGGAGAAACTGGTTTTCCAACTCGGGATCGGTCTGATTGTGGGGTTCTTTGTGTATCGCTACGGCGTGGAGTTTCAGAATAACCAGCAGGTCGATTCCATCGCGCATGTGCTCAACCTCCCATTCCAGCGCACCTATGACCCAAACACCAAGTTCGCCGCCGATGGACTGATTTACCTCGGGCTCCCAGCGTTCATGATCATCTCGATGCTCGTGATCGCTGGACTCTCCAACGCCGTCAACATCACCGATGGCATGGATGGGCTCGCGTCGGGAACCAGCGCGATCGTGTGCTTCGCGTTGATCCTGCTCTCGCTAGTGTCTGGAGAGCTGAGCTCGGCGCAGTACCTGTATGTGCCGTATGTCCCGCTCGCGGATGAGCTCGCGGTCATCGCGGGTGCGATGTTCGGCGCGTGTCTCGGATTCTTGTGGTGGAACTGCAAACCCGCTCAGATCTTTATGGGAGACACCGGATCGCTCGCGCTCGGAGGAATGATCGGATATATCGCGATCGTCACTCGTCAGGAGTTTGTCGTATTACTCATGTGCGGCGTATTCCTCTTCGAAATCCTCTCCGTTGTCCTTCAGGTCGGTTGGTTCAAGTACACACGCATCCGCACAGGCACTGGCCGACGGATATTCAGGATCGCGCCATACCACCATCATCTCCACCAAGGAGGTTGGGCGGAGAATCAGGTCGTCGCTCGTTTGTGGTTGATCACGATCCTGCTCGTCGTCGTCGCGATGGCGTCACTGAAGCTCCGTTGATTGCTCGATGAGTACCATCGGGAGTTGCAGGAAGAACTTGTCCTGGATCGGACCATTCTCCGCAGGATCAATCTCAAACCTCAGCGTCGCCGCGTTCTCTGGGAGTTCAAGATTCAGCGTCTCATTGGGGGTTGGTGTTGCGTCAAAACGCTTGCTCCAGAGCGTTAGCACAACACCATCGGTTGTGGTCGTCGTGATGATGACCTGATTGTTGGTCCATCGCTGATTCCATGCATTGACGCTCATCGTCACTCGGCTCGATCCGACAGGCAGGTTCCAGCTCATCGAGATTGGTGTTTCGACTCGAGCCTTTGTCCGATTGCCGCCAACCCAACGCGAGACATCGAACTGCGGATCTTGTGCCCAATCCTGATCTCCCATCGGCTCGATCATCGCAGGCGAGTAGCTCTGCAGATCAATCAGCATGCTGGAATCAGAGATCACTTCCACTCCCAGCAGTTCAGCATTGAAGGATTGTGACTGATTGCGCGAGTGGATCGGATCATCAAGACTCGCAACGATCCCTCGTGCTTGATCCCATTGATAGTCACTGACGCGGAGTCTTTCCTTCAGTGTGGTCAGGATATACATGCCGGCGCTGGGTTCTCCGGGATTCTGCAGCATCACGGCACGGATCTGATCGACAGGATAGTTTCGTGTCAGTGTCTGTCCGTTTGAGGTCGTCTCGATGAGCACGCTCTCGCCGATACTGATGATGAATCCGAGCACGGTGTCCTCGTTGCTCAGCCTGATCGCGTCATCCTCGATGTTCGCATCAAAGATCGAGACTGGAGATTGGAAATCTCTCGTCTCGCTGACTCGACGGATCGAGCGGATCCGTTCGATCGGGATCGTAACGAGCTGATCGGATTCGAGGCGCTTGCCTTGCACAAGCTCATCATTGTTGGAAGGCTCGATCAGCATCACCACACGCTGACCATCCGTTAGCTCTACATGCATCGCGTGCTCGTAATCGTCCGAGTCGATCCCATCCCTGAAGACCATATCCTGATCGATCCACAACCCTCGGATCTGATCAGATGTGAATCGGATCGGGATCCCGTCTCGATCGGTGCCGATGACGCCTTGTGTAGTGCTGGACTCATCGATCCGGATCGGGGTCGTGTTGAGCTGCTCATCGAGGACATACGCCCAGTTGGGTTCAGCGATGCCGCTGGATGCTGCGAGCGAGAGCACAAGGATCGGGATGGAACAACGCATAGACATCACTTCTGAAAGATCGGCAGATACCGCTTCGGCATTTGAAGAACAATGAGAGACATCGCGGTGCCGTATGCCTTTCCGGCGGAACGATCGTCCCAGGACCCATCATCGAGCTGAGAATCCAGAAGTTCTCGGCGGATCGCGGGCCACCAAGTCTCCCAGTGCTCACCACCTGCGAGGAACATGGACTGGACGGCGTAGTACTGTCCATAAAAATAATGTGAACGCGATGGGGTCGTCGCGCCTGGGAGAGCGGTCCCCATCAGATACTCAAGACCACGATCGATCGAGTCATCGGAGTAAATCCCGGCATAGTACAGACTCGCAACCCCCGCCGCGGAGCGCGGCCAAGCACTGGAGCCGGCGCTCGCTTGATAGCGGAATCCGCCGTCGGGATTCTGCGTGATTCGTACATACTCAACCGCACGATCGATCGTGTCGCTCGAGACCTCGATCCCGGCGTTGCGAGCACTCCGCAGCGCCATGATCTGACAGATGGTCACGGAAACATCCGCATCATACGGGACTGGGTTGTAGCGCCATCCACCCTCTTCGTTCTGTGTCTGCTCGATGAGTCGAACGCCTCGGACGAGCGCCTCGTGGATGCGTGTGCTGAGCGTGGTGTCCGGACCACCACCCGTCATGCCGTAGATTTCGCCGAGGAACAGCATCGCAAAGCCATGCCCGTACATCGGACCGTTGTTCGCTTGCGCCGCGATCAATCCGTTCTCTTTGGTTGAGTCGAGGATGAACTCCACACCTCGCAGGATCTGATCCCGATAGGGCCCACGCGAAGCCGTGTTCCCATCACCCATCATCGCGAGACATGCGAGCGAGGTAATCGCGACATTTTTCCCGAAACGTCCGCCTTCCCATGATCCATCCTCGTTCTGGGTGGTCGCAAGGTAGTCGAGTCCCTGCGCGATGGATTGATCCAGCGCCTCCGTGATCTCCGCATCCATCGGATTGGATGCCGCGGACTGTCCGGGCTGCGCGATCGATGCGTGTTGAGTGACCAACAAGAATGAGGGCAAGATGAAGCAAAGAGCTTTGTTCATTCTTCATCCTCCGCAAGTGCTTTGTAGTAGCGTTCCGTGAGCGTGCGATACAGATCGGAATACGGCTCATCCAATCCCTGACTCAGCGCCTCTCGAAGTCGCTCAGGGAGGTTCCCCCAACGCGCCACGCCGCTGCTCAGATCATTCGATCCGACTTCAGTCGATCCGCCGGGCATCGAGGAGTCGTTGGGATCTCCACCGGGATTGGTGGGGGACTGCTGTTGCTGCGTGCTCTGGTTGGGTTGCTGCTGTTGTCCAGAGGACGATGAGGACGACGAGCTGCTGCTATTGCTGGAGTTTTGATTCTGCTGCGCCGACTCGATGATCTGCTCAAGCTTGCGGATGATCTCTTCTTGCATCCGCTGCGTCGTGAGTCCGGCGTCTTGGGATCCATCGATGCGATCAGCAACCTGACCCATCATCCCGACGGCTTGCGTGAACGCTTCCCCGGCTTGCTGAGGAGAGAGCGCTTCGTCGAGTTTGCTTTCATCCGGAGCATCCGGAGCTTCTTCCAGTCCGAGCAACTCATCGAGTGATGGAACGCGCTTGGGTTCGTCCTGCGCATGCAATGAAGCCGTGCAGAGAGCACTGAGCGAGAAGATGAGCATCGATTGTCTCAACAAACGGATCATGGTTGAGCGTCTCCATTCTCTTGTTCGACTGGAGCGGGCTCTGGGTTCATGCTTTGAATGAGTTCTTGCCCCTTCTCCGCGAGATCACGCTGCATTCGACCGATCTCTCGGACTCGATCCGGGTCTTGTGTGCTCTGCTCGTTGAGTGAGCGGGTCTGCATCGCCGTGAGTTCTTGGAGTGCTTTGAGCAGCTGCAACTGCGCGACGGGAGGAATGACCGGCTGCTCACCGCCTCCGCCTTGGCCTCCGCCGCCACCGCCTTGCCCGTCTTCGAAGTCCTCGGATTGGTTTTGTTGCTGATCCGAGAGCACATCAATGAGCGATTGCAGGATGCTCGCGATTGCTTGTTGATCAGATACAATCATCGGATCGATTGTGCGCTCGTTGAGTGACTGCGAGACGGATTCGAGCAAGTGATCCAACTGATCGTGCGCGAGTGAGAAGATGGGAGCTTCACTGAGTTCTTTGGTCTCATCGAGCATCGTGCGTAGTGACTCGCTCAGCTGCGATTCATCACGCGCCAGTTGTCGTGCCGTCGCTCGTTGACGACGATCGAGTGGATCTCCAACCAATGGTCGAGTCTCCGTGGTGATCCGTGCTTGTTCTTTGAGTGAGTCTTGGTACTTTGCTCTGAGTTCATTGCGGAGTTGAGCCGTCTGTCGATCCGCAGCCATCTGATCCTGACGCTGCGCTTCATCCAGTGCCGCTTGCAGATGCGTGATCGCGGAGAGTTCCGACTGTCGAGCGGGTACCAGATCCACAGGGTTCGCTCGCATCGAGGTGATCGCGTCCGCCTGTGCATCCGCTGCCCGTGACATCGACTCCGCGATGGTCTGTGTTTCTGGGAACGCCGCCGCGGCTTCATCCCGGACCGCGAGCGTATTGCTCCGCAGTGAGATCAGTGGTTGATCGAGATTTTCGGCGCCGTTATCGAGTCGCGCGAGTTCTTGTTGCTGATCTTGGAGGATCCCTTGGATGGACTCGATGAGCGTCGCGAGCTTGCGGCGCAGCGCCGAGTCTCGATTCTTCTGTGCTTGCTCGATCTGCTCGAGCATGTTGTCGAGCTCTTCGAGGACCTGCTGCTGTGTCCCAGCGGCGGACGCGGTCTGGTTTTGCTCCAGTTCTTCCGCGGCTTGCTCGAGTTGTTCTTCAATGCCAGCATTCCGGCCTTGCGTCGCCGCGTCCCGGATCCCCTGAGCACCTGTGGGATTCTGCTTGTCCAGCGCGTCCGCTTGTTCATCAAGCGAATCGATCATCTCCCGAGCCTCTTCCGCGGCTCGCTTCTGACGATCCAGAATCTTCTGAAGCATCGAACGCTGATCCTCGCTGAGCTGATCAAGCGAGCGTCCTCCTGTTTGTGTATCGAGTTGCTGTGTGTCTGACAGCAGATCCTCAACCTGTGTTCGCAGATCTTCGATCGAACGGCGAGCGATCCAGGTATCTTTCCCGCGATCGAGCATCGCGATGGAGCGTTCGATCTGCTCGCGCACGCGTTCCATCTGTTCCGTCGATTCCTCAAGCTGCTCCTGCTGGAGCGCTTCGCTCGCTTCGTCCGAAGAATCGCTTGCTCGATCGAGCGATTCCTCGATCGCTTCGAGCATCGGAGAAATCTGCGGATCCGCGATCCGGCTCTCCTGCAGACGCACAAGCAAAGAACGCGCCGATTCTGCACGCGAACGAATCTGATCACTGATCGAGTTCTGGTTCTTCGCTTGATCACCGAGCTGAGGTCTCGGTTCTTGGTTGATTGCATCGATGAGAGAGCGTTGACGATCATCGAGCCTTTTGAGGACATCGCTCATCGAACCAAGCTGAGATTCCACGAGATCTACGATCTCCTGATCGTCCACGATCCGCAGCACGCGTGTCGAGGACTTCGTTTCTGCGCCTTGAATATCCACGGCACCAGCAACAATGCCGATCCGTTGTCCCTGCACCAGATCGAGTGATTGCAGATCGATCTCAGAATCAATGACCTGAGCACGCGTGTTCATGGAGTCCATCGATTCAATCAGCGTTGATTGCTGTCCCGAATCGATCAGTTCCATCTCAATGAATGCTTCACGCAATCCTAGATCATCCGAGAGCATCGCTTCGAGCTCAACCACGGCTCGGCGTCCAACCACACGATCAGTGCTCGGTTGACTCAGCAACACTTCAGGAGGCGCATCCTCAACAACACGCATGAACACACCGACCGGTTCACGCGTGGTCAAGCCGTATTGGTCGATCGGTTGTACAGTCGAGGTGGTGTTGGATACAGGGGTCAAGATCTTGATCAGTGATTTGGATAGAGCATAGTCCTTGCCTTGTTCATGAACCGCTGTTGAGAATGTCCAGGTCAACTGGACTTCTGAGCCTGCGAGGATCGGTCCGAAGGAGGGTTCGTTGGGAAGCGTCTCGTGCTCGCCTTGCAAGAATCGGATCGTTTCTGAACCCATCTGTTGTGCATACTGAGGAAGCGAGATCGAAGCCTGTAGACCAATCAACTTAGGCGGGTGGACAATGCTGACTCGCTGAGTATCGCTCTGGTCATCATTTGATTGGATCTGAAATTCGAGCGTGGATCCTTCAGGGATCGTCGTTGCTGTCAGCGTATGGATCGGGATCAGTTGTTCATACGGCGTGGATTCTTGATCCCCTTTGCCTTGCTTGTTGAGTCCGAGCGTTGTCCAGCGGACCAGCGATTCTCCGTCTGGACCAGTAAGTCTCCAGCGAAGCGTCGCGTTTGGATCATCTTTGGAAGGACCGATCCGTGCTTTAGCAATAAAGGCGCGATCCGAGGGGTGATGCTTCGCGATCTCGGGAAGATCGATCTCGAACCGCTTGGGCCAAGCCGTGTTCGTCCAAGGCGTCAGCGCCCGACGCAGACCAACTCCAGTGAACTGGTGTTGATTGATCGACACCAACACCATCAGGATCACACCCACTCCGATCGCAAGCATCTCGTACATCGGAGCCGCTCGCATCGGGGTGTTGGATTCATCGAGTTCGATCCGAGTGCTCGATCGTCGAGCAACGGCTTCATGCAGCGCCACACTGATCTCGTCGTTCTCATCATCTGGACGCAGATCAACCACCGCCGCGAGTCTGGTCGCTGGAGTTGGAAGATTCAGCGCCAGATCACTCCGGCTCGGACGGATCCATTGAGTGCTCCAGATCCATCGACGATACAAAAAACACAGCATCGCGATCCATAGCACAAGCAGCACACTACGCACTATGGGATTCAGGTGGATGCCGTAATCAAGAAGCACGAAAACCGCGAGCGTTCCAAACGCACACCCGATCCAGCGCAGTATACCTCTCCAGAGCAGTCGCCGTCTGATCCGATGGATCATCGTTCCCAAAGCGCGAACATAACCATCACTCTGGAGTGTTGGTTCGGATCGGGTTGGGTCGTGTAGTGTGGTCATCTGTTTAGGGTAGTGTTCGAGTATTAACGGACTTAAGCAAGCCGAAGCACGCGCCTCCCGATCCATTCACAGCTCATCAGCAACACAAGTAGCACGAGCACGATCGGACGATCCCACATCGCCGTGGTCTCGGGAGGGAGAGTGGTAATCCTCGTGCGATTGGGGAGCAAATCCGCGAGTTGATCGAGCTCATTGCTCTGGAGCACCTGCCCGTTTGTTCGCTCGCTTAATGTTTCTAGATACGCATGATCGGTATTGAGGTTTACCGATTCGTCCCATGATGCGTTCACGCGGATAATCTGCGAGATTGGTTCGTTCCCGATGAGCGGATGCAGCACGCTCAGTGTGTAAAGCCCAGGCTCATTTGGAGTCCATATCCCGCTTCGCTGGTCATCACCTCCACGAAGCGGCAGATCAAACTCCGCGTCAGGCGTTGACATCGGTCGGACGCGTGCATTGAGATCCGTCGGCATCGACTCAAGTACCGCGCTGTCATAAAGCTGCAGACTCACGCGGACATCATCTCCAGGCGCGATCTGAGCGGGAGCGACTCTCAATCCAGCCGCGGAAGCCCTGCGTGAGATGGTTCCTCTCGCGAGTGTTCTGATCATCGGGAGCCAGAACTGTTCGGTAAGGTCCTCGCCGCGACCGTAACGCCATCTCCAGATTTCATCGGTCCCGACATACCCAACCTGTCCGCTGCCGTATCGCATGGAAGTGACAAGCGCCTCGTTGGTGTCCGAATCGAGTCCCGCCGCTCGAGCGAGCACAGAAATCCCAGGCTTGAGATCCGCATCGCTGATCGAGTGTGTCCATCGCAGCACAGACCAACCAGTGCTCGGATCACTCACATCGGAGGTCTCTCCAGTCTCGGAGATAAGCAAGCCGACACGAGCCGCATCATCGGTCAGTGTCATCACGCTTGGGGTATCACCTCGTGATTGCGATGAGATCGAATCCGACTTGCCCGCAGAGTAAGGCAACAGCGAAGCGATTTCTGAACCGGCCCACGAACTTGGGGTAGCGCCCTCGCCAGCGATCCAGAGCAACCCACACCCACGCGTCTCGATGTGTTCGCGGAGCGTCGTCAGTTGAGTTGTAGAGAACAAGTCAGGACGCAGATCTCCAATAATCACCACATCAAACGGCTCCCACGCTTCCAGAGAATCAGGAATCGGACCATTGAGTGGTTTACCCTCTTCGATAAAGCGGCGATCCGAAGCGATCAGCATGGTCGTCGCGTCGATCGTCTGCTCACGCATCAACAGATTCTTGAGATAGCGATACTCCCAGCGTGGATGCCCGTCTACATACAGCACCCGCATCGGTTCAGTAACCACTCGGAGTGAGATAGGTTGCTGATTATTCTCGTTGATCAGGTCTTGCGAACCAGCACCAGAACGCAAGCGGACCACAAGATCTTTCTCACCGGCTTGGGTGAATGAATGCGAGAGATCGACGAATGCGGTCTCCGAATCGAGTGCGTCATCAACCACGAGCGTATGGTCGCTTAAGACCTGTCCAGTGACTTCGTCGACCAACTCGACCTGAATTTCATCGCCCTCCGAGTATCCATCGGTGCGAACCTGAACACGCATCGGGACGCGATCTTCCGCGAACACGGCTTGAGGTGATTCGACAATCCCGATCGACGCATCGCGGATCGGTTCGGACGATCCGATCGGGACGGTGAATACTGGAACCCCAGAGCTCAGCAACGATTCGATCATCGGCTCAGAAAGTTCGTCGTGTGATCGTCCGTCAGAAAATACAAGCACACCAGAGATTGGGCTCGTGCCTGCATTATTCAATGCTTTACGCAGCGCTGAGTTGAGCGAAGTCCCTGAGCGATCCTGGATGCTCGCGTTATCAATACCCAGATTTTCAGATGAATACAGACGATCATCAAATCGGTAGAGATCTACTGATGAACGTTCACGGATCTGAGCGAGTAATGCCTCGTTCGCGCTGAGAGTTTCATTCATGGATTCGGCGCGCGTGAATCGTGAACCGCCCGGACTCAACTCAGGTGTGTTCATCGATCCGGATGAGTCCATCAGGATGATGACCCGATCTGGTTCGATCAGTTCTCGATGCCGTTCCATTTGTGGACCAAGCGCCAAGACGAGTAAGAACCCCAATGTCAGCACTCGTAACGATCCCAGCACGAATCGCGTCCAAGTTCGACCCGCGAGCCCTCTGTAACTCAACCACACAAGCAGAGCAAATACGATGATCATGCTGAGCACGATCCAAGCCGGGACTTGATTTGCGAATCCGATCCCACTGTCGGCACGACCGAAGGTGCCTGATCCAAATCCGAAAATCCAATCGAGGAATCCGTTCATGCTGCGACCCCCGCACTTCCCGCAGTGTGGACGGCGCGGTATGAGCATCGCCGAGCAAGCACGAAATCCAATATGCCGAGGATGAGCGCGATCCCAAACAGCGGCAGAGAAATGGATTTCCCGAGATCTAGATTGTCCGCGAAGACGCCGTCTCCGAGCGATTCGAGTCCACTCAAATCCTGGATCGCCAGGTCTCCGAGTTGATTCGTAAACAGTTGCTGAATGTTCTTTGATTCAGTTGCGTCAAGAGTGGTGTGCCGAGCATCGGGATTGATCAGCACGCCGCGGTGTCCACTCCCGAGTTCATCCACCTGCACATACACGCCCGCGTTGCGTAGATCCGCCTCGACAGTCCCGCCAGTGAGTCTTTCGAGTTGTGCGTTGATGTCTGCGTGCTCGCCTGCTGTCAGAATCAACGGAGATTGGGATTGCGAGATCAGCGTTCGTGTGAGTTCGTGTAGCAGCGCGACAAAGAGCGGCCGCGCTTGCAGGTCTGTCCACTGCACATCAAACGCGAGACCAAAGAACACAATCGGACCCGATTCATCTTGTGAAGCAGGTCGTGTCGAGATCGCGATCGGGTCATGTGCTGAATCCATCAACATCACATTCGCATTTGGTCCTGGCTCAAGCACAAGCGAACGGCTCAGCAGCACAGAAGATGCGAGCCTTGGATACTCCCGCTCGATTCCGGCAAGGTAGATCGGAGCCGCCGTGCTATCAATGGTCAGAGTGCTTGACAAGCCGATCGGAGGTTCAAAGCTCATCACACGGACCTCTTCACCCAACAGCCCTGCAGAAAGGTCGTTGAGTCGATTGGTCCACTCAAGCGAGAGAGATCCAGCGTCTGCAGTCAGCACGATCGGCATCCCAGTGCCGTGAAGACTCTGGACCCGCGCCCATCCGCGATCACTCAACGATGCCGGTGCGAGAATAAATAGGGCATCAAGCGAAGGATCGATCCGATCTTCCGCGATGCGTGCTTCAATCATCTGGACAGAGATCACGCCCTCGTCAGCGCCAAGCGCGGTACGCACCCATCGGGAAGCACGGATGGAGTTGGGCATCGAGTTGTCAGTGAATGTATCAATGATCCCGATGCGCATCTCGTTGCGGATCGGAAACCCTGTGGTCCGAGAGTTGTCTCTGGGATTCAGGTCGTCCTCAATCAGCGATGCGCGAACCACGGCCCAACCACCTCGCGATCGACTCATCTGATCAGGACCCAGCGGGATCGTGACGAGCTTGGAGCTTTGCCCTGCTTCCCACTGAATTTCTTGCAAGCTCAGCTGATCACCACTGCTGGGATCACTGAGCTCGATTCGGGATTGGTGAGTCGTAGAAGCATCCGAGCGACTCAGCTCGATGCGGACACCCTGAATCTCATCGCTCAGACTCGCGTTATTCAGTGAACCTAGTGTCGTCAGCGGACGCAGCGGATGTATGGACTGGATCGCGAAGTTCGATTGTGCCGAAGAACTTGCTTCATCGATCAGCACTGAATCCAGTTTGGATATCGAGAGGTCCTTCGGCAAGCCGTCACTCGTCCAGCCTGAGGGACTGAACATCAACGCCGCGTGGATTGTTGAGCTGTCGGACTCATCCGTGATATTGGTTTCAATCAGCGAGAGGGCGCCTTCAATGTCGCGCTCCGCGTCGGTTGCCTCGATGGATTCGATCCGCGAGCGGATCAGTCCGAGCTCGCTTGTTGCCGGGATCGCATCGCCACGAGCAGGAGCCGCTGCGGTAATTAGAGCTGCTCGATCTCCTTTCGTCGGATCGAGCGAGCGGAGCAGATCCAAAGCACGCCGTCTCTGATAATCAATGGACTGTTCACCCGTTGCGAGCGATCCGGCGCTATGGATCGAGTTGTCGATGACAAAAACGACTGTCCGTCCGCGTTGATCCTGCGACCCCGATCCAATGACGAGCGCCCCGACAGCGCCAGCGATACACAGCATGATCGCGCAGCGAGTCAACAGCAAGATCAGTTGTTCAAGAGTAATCAGCCGGCGGCGTTTCTTGTACGCTTGCTCGAGGAATCGCATCGCGCCCCAAGAGATCGGACGATGCTTGCGCCGAAGCAGATGCACCAAGATCGGGATCGAAACACATAAGAGTCCAGCGATCAGCAGTCCGGGATGGAGTACAGACAATCCCATCATCGCGCGGCGCTCCGGAGTTTGGACAGCGCCGAATTCCGTCGCGCCACGAAGGACGCGAGCGTCGGACCAAGCCATTGATGCGTGGATACGATGTGGTGATCAAACCCAAGCGCGCGGATATCGTGCGCGATCGTCGCGTTGTGCTCATTGAACGCGTTGAGGTAATCCTCTCGAAGAGCTCGCGGATCGATCCGGATCGTCGGCTCAAACTCCAATCCCTCAAACGCAGCACGATCCTCAAACTCGAAAGTCCGCTCCGCTTTGTCCAAGATCTGAAGCACGATCACATCGTGACCGCGATGCTTGCACTTCGCAAGCGCGGACTTGAGATCCGCCGGATCCATGAAGCAGTCCGAGATTAGCGCGATCATGCATCGGTTGTTCAGTTTGCCCATCATCTGATCCATGACGCGGACGATGTTGGTCTCTTGCTCGACCGGATGCGTCGCGAGCGCATCGACGATGGGTTTCCATCCAGAAGTCCGCGCCGAACGCGAGACCATCGCGCGGATCTCATCGGCGAAGATCACCAATCCCGCGCGATCTCCCTGATGGAGCGTGATGTGCGCCAGCGCCGCCGCCGTCGCCGTCGCGTGGTCGTATTTGGACCAGTTGATGCGTCCGTCAGGAGATTGAGCCGTCGCTGATCCCGAAGCGTCTGAGAACAGTCTCGATCCAAATCGCATTGATCCTGACGAATCGACCATGATGACGAGGTCGAGGTTGGTTTCCTGCTGATACTGCTTGACCTGCAGCTTGTCTGATCGTGCATAGACCTTCCAGTCTAGGTGCCGAATGTCATCTCCAGCAACATAGGGACGATGATGCGCAAACTCCACGCTGACACCGGTATACGGCGATCGGTGCTGTCCAGACCGAACCCCCTCGACAATCATTTTCGCGCGCAGTTCCATCGACGAGAGCCGAGCGAGCGTCTGAGGATGCAGATACAGATGCGGATCAAATCGATCTGTGGGCTTTGCTGGATCGAGTGAAATTTGTACGGCGGGATTGGCCATGTATATAGGGTACCACGCCGATCAATTAAGGGTTGCCACTTTGAGGCGAATCAGTCCTCAACACGCGTATTTGTAGTGGTTTGCTTAATCGCTATTGTCATGTCGGGGTCGTCGCCGCCAGACTGGTTCACAATTGTATTAAAGCTGGTGATCATGGAGAAGCTCTCGAATGCGCCGAGCTCAATATTGAACTTGGCAGATCCAGTGATTTTTGAATCCTCCAATGAAAGGAACTCGCCAAGTTCCTCACCATAGTCTGCAAGGACATCGCCAATGAACGAAATTTCAGCAATCTCTGATCCTTCGTGAGTAGTTACATTGTCCAATGACATGTTAAGATTCATGGTGATTTCAAATCCGCCAGTTGGGATCACGAATTTGCGGTCCCACCGTTCACCAATTTCAACAGGTTCCTTTGGAAGCAGTTTAAAGTTAGCTTCTTGCATCCCGATGATGGCATCCTCATCTGTCAGCATGTCTGCTACCAGCCAGAGGTCTATATCTTCCATGTCGAGGATCGAATCCTTTACTTCATCGACATTTGGCACTCCAAGCACCGATCCAGATTTGTCAAGGTGCAGTTGAATCTGAATTCCGTCGAGGACTACAAGTGATGCGATTGTTGGATCACTTAACTTCTCTTTGTCATCGGGGTTGTCGGCACTATATGAAAGGTCAATTCCAGCACCCTTCATTTCGAAGGAAGTCATATTGGTGGTATTCCCGATGATGATTGTTCCGTCTTCTTTGGTTTCAAGCAGCTCGGTAACAATATGGTTCTTGTTCGTCGACACCATGTTCAGAGTCATACCTGTGGATTCTTGAATCTGCTCCGTAGTTTGAGTCATCTCGTAGTGGACTGGTTTCTCAGAATCAAACTTGAACTCGAGCACTACTGGTTTACAAACCGCTGTCGTAACAAGCAAAAAAAGAGGTAAGGTGTAACTCAGCATGGTGTGTTCTCCACTGTGGGATATCTTTGGTGAATAACGCTTTAAGCAAATCTGTCGAATACCTGATAGTATCACCCCATCATGGCCACCATCCAAGATCGAGTCCCATCGTCCAACATCAAACGCATCGCTGTCCTTACAGGAGGCGGCGACTGTCCGGGACTCAACGCCGTCATCCGAGCCGTCACCAAAGACGCGATCAACCACGGCATCGAGGTCTTCGGGATCGAGGACGGCTTTCTGGGTCTCGTCGAGGACCGCATCAGACCGCTCAATCTGGACGATGTCTCCAACATTCTCACGCAAGGCGGCACCATCATCGGATCCAACAACCGAGCGGATCCGCAGCATTTTCCAGTGGGGAAAGACGATCAGGGCAACACAATCTTCAAGGACCTCACCGATGTCTGCGTGACGCACCTCAAAGTCCGCAAAATCGACGCGCTCGTCGTCATTGGTGGTGACGGAACGATGTCCATCGCAAAGAAAATCACGGACAAGGGATTCAACTGCATCGGGATCCCCAAGACCATCGACAACGACCTCCACGGCACAGACATCACCTTCGGATTCCAAACCGCGGTCCACATCGCGACCGAGGCGCTCGATCGTGTTCACTCGACCGCCGCGTCGCACCACCGCGTCATGGTCGTAGAACTCATGGGACGCAACGCGGGATGGATCACGCTCCACGCAGGAGTCGCGAGCGGCGCGGACATCATCCTGATCCCAGAGATCGAGTTCGATATCGACATCATCGTCGAGCAATGCATCAAACGATCTCAGAAGGGCAAGCGCTTCACGATCATCGCCGCGTCCGAAGGCGCCAAACCCAAAGGCGGCGACCAGATCGTTGATCGCATCGTCGAGAACTCTCCCGAAGCGATCCGTCTTGGAGGGATCGCGAAATGGCTCGCAAACGAGATCGAAGAACGCACCGAAATCGAATCACGCTATGTTGTGCTCGGACATGTCCAGCGAGGCGGAACCCCAACCGCAGGAGATCGTGTGCTCTCCACACAGTTCGGACACCACGCGATGGAACTGCTGAAGTTGGGCAAGACCAATCGACTCGTAGTCATGCAGGGTGGAGTGCTCGGAGATGTTGAGATCACCTCTGCCGCAGACAAACAGCGATTGATTCCCGCCAATCATCCACTCATCGCCGCGGCGCGAAGTGTGTACACATGCTTTGGTGATTGAAAGGGTAATGAGCATATTCCCAATACGCAGTGGAGGTCTTACGCCATGCGATCATCTGGAATCTCATACTTGCTCTGGTTACTCAGTTTTGTCGGATTCTTCGGGATCCATCGCTTCTACAACGGCAAATGGATCACCGGACTGATCTGGTTTTTCACCGGCGGTTTGCTACTGATCGGTCAGATCGTTGATCTATTCCTGATCCCTTCGATGACCCATCGCGCTAATGCCAAAGCACGCGCCGAGTTCGCACAGTTCGCCTGAAGTTATGGGCATCCATTCGCGTACTGAGCGAGGAACGCGGAGACATCGGTAAAGTTGAACTCTCCGTCTTGCGTAAAGTCCGCGATTGGATCGCGATCGGAATACGCATCGAGGAAAGCGGAGATGTCTCTGAAGTCCAGAGAGCCGTCGGATGTGAGATCCGCAAGACACACACCTTCGCCGTCGATGGTCCAGAACGCAGAAAGCGATCCTGCACTGAGATCAGCGTCGAGGACTGTTGTCCCGATGTGACCCATCCTGATCTGAATCCGATAGCTCCCTGAGTCTGATTCGAGCGGGATATCAAGATCGAAGAACTCGCCGTTGACTTCAAAGTCGAAGACCTGGAACTCGAAGAATGCTTCTTCAAATCCACTGCCGACTACTTCTTCGCTGAATACCTGAACGAACGCAAAGTAGCTGATCGATGAAGGGCCACCATTGTCGAGGAATCCCGCGATCCGAAGGGAGCCTTCGCCTTGGATACGGAAGTCATTCTCCATACCGCATCGGAGCGTGTGGGAGAAGCTGATCCCGCCGGCGCCCACGGCTCCTCGCGCTCCCATGTACTCCGCGCTCCCAGTGAAGAACCCGTTGTCCTCATTGAAAAAGGACATCATGGTTTGCGTCGTTGCGTGAAACAAGCCGTCATCGGATTCGATCATCACGCTCGAGGTCGCGGGACCAAGCGTGTCAATCATCGAGACCTGGTCGTCTACGACCGATAACACATCTTCTTGTTTGGTCCCGTCGAGCCGAATCTCAGAGTAGGACTCGATGCTCGACCGGATCGGAGTAGATCCTGCAAATGCAGATCCGCTTGCGACAAGCAAGCTCAACACACTGATAGTCAAAATGGGTGTCCAAGCCATTGGGAGTGATCTCTCTGAAGTCGCCGCAGTTATGCGGACGCATCGTCGAGACTACAGAATCTCTGCGGAGAATGAAAGTAAAAAACGGCATTGGAGGAATGATTTTCGCGATCCCCTGATCATGTCTCATCTGAAGAGACCGCTGGTGTGACACCATTGGGAAGCTCAACAGGATGGATGAACATACTTGTGGAGATCAGCTTGGTGTTGGGACGCCGTTGTGATTGCTCAAAGATCTTCGTGACCGCGTGCAGATGCTTTCTGAGCGATTCTTGCTGATCAGGGTCAAGCCAGCCGAACTGTGCGGACAACGCGTGGTCCTTTGATCCCAAAGGCGAGTTGTTGGGTTCAATATCCCTGCCCTGTCCGATCGATGATTCAATCCAACGCCGAGTCGCTTTGGCAGTTTGCTTCCCGGCCCAAGTGGCGCTGCGCTCGATGAGCTTGCACAGAGCATCGACGGCTTCAGGGTCATCGCGATCCACGCTCAGATAGATGATGTTCCCATCTGCCGCGTACTGTTGAGCATTCCGCCCGCCGGTTGTTGTAGCCCCGATTGGGTGAATGAGTTCAGCGTCAACAAGCGCATCGATGTGCCGATAGATCGACGCGGCGGATCGCCCAATATGCTCAGCAATCTCATGAATCGAAATCCCCTTGCGCTGTTCATCCTCGCCGCTGCTCCCAGTCTGAAAGACAACCACCTGCAGGATCTGATCGCGAACCTGAGAACTGATCGCTTGAAAGTGCTTGGCGCTGCGGAGCACGATCGGTCGGTGATGCTCAGTAGAAGACGGGATGGCGGACATTCTTTTTGACATTTTTAACAATATGCAAAAAATTGATCGAAATCAGGGAACTCTTCGTGTACTTTCTTCGCATCGTCTACGCACAGTACTGGAGGACAACACATGAGCATACATCGTACTGCATTCCTGATCACGGCTTTATTACCGGCATACATTGCCGGGATTGGGGTCTCGAATGCTTCAGAACCAAGCGGTCTGTACTTTCATCAGTTCGAGGGATCTTTTGACGGAACAGAGTGGTCCACTTGGGGACAACGCCCGTCGGACAATCGCTATGAGTTCAGCGATCTCACCAGCGCCGGCACATTTGCAGGAACAATCGCTGAGAATGGCACAATCCAACTCGATAATGCACAAGGGACAGGTGCATTCACGAGCGACGACGAGGCATTCATCGACTTCACGATCTCAGGTGGATTCAACTTCCATTCAGAAATGCGCCGAGCTCCGCATACCGACGACCGATTCCCGGTCTTCATGCGTGATTCACAGCAAGGCGACACAGCGCTGAGTGGTCAATGGGAAGCGCATATCAGTGTAGTGGATCCCTGGAGCGGGAATGTCCTTGAGACAAGCTCAGAGCAGTTCGAAGTGCTCATCGAAGATGACACCATTCGGCTCACTGATGAATCAGGAACCTTCTACCAAGGAGTCTGGTTTGAAGATGACCAAGCGGGATTCCGTGTGATTCATCCTCGAGCTCGCATCCCGCGGTATCGCACTTTTGAGGGATCAGAAACCAACTTGGATCGAGACATTGTCGCGGACCTGAGACTCCTTGACGACGGATCGATGACTTTCGCACTCTTTGATCAAACGCGAGTACCAGTGGGATCGCAAGAACAGCAGATGCGATACATCGAGCTGACACGCGTGCCGAGTCCCTCTGCGATGATGGTTCTCGCGACAGGCGGTTTGGTGATCACACGCCGACGACGATGAGCTATCAGAATGGCGGCAGATCGTCGTCGTCATCAAACTGAACATCGTTCCCAGATCCATCTCTGAAGTTCTCTTCAGGTCCTGATTTCGCTCCAGGCGCGAAGGACTGTCGAGTTGGTTCTGGAGCAAAGTCCTGTGCAGGTTGCGGCGGATTGGGATCGAATCCTGGTCCGTCGTAGCCGTTGTTGATCTCGTTGGAGAATCCATACGAGCTTCCAGAGTGCATCGAGTCCCAGTTCTTGAATCGGACGATCGACGAATCCCATACGAGCTTGACGGTCCCTGTTGGACCATTCCGTTGCTTCGCGATGATGAGCTCAGTCATGTTGAGCTTCTCGCGATTGTCCTCATCGAACTCTGGACTAGTTGGATCCCATGCCGGATCACCGCGATGGTAGTAGGACTCTCGATGAAGGAGCGCGACGACATCCGCATCCTGCTCGATCGAACCCGATTCACGCAGATCACTCATCTTCGGACGATTCCCCTCGCGCTGCTCGGCGCCACGATTGAGCTGCGCCAGACAAATCACAGGCACCTTCAGCTCTCGCGCAAGCGCTTTGATCGAGCGTGAAATTTCAGAGACCTCAACCTGACGCGATTCGCGTGCCGATCCGGGTGATGTCAGCAGCTGGAGGTAGTCGATGACGATGCACTGGATGTCGTGACGCTGCTTCATCCGCCGTGCTTTGGCGCGCAGCGCAAGCACCGTCATGCCGGGGGTATCGTCGATGATGATCTTCGCTTCCGCGAGTTCTCCCGAAGCGCGTTGGAGTTTCTCCCACTCGCCGTCTGTGACTTGTCCAGATCGGAGTTTTGAAGAGTCCACTCCTGAGCGTGCACTGAGCAGACGCTGCGTGAGAGCACCACGTGACATTTCCAAAGAGAAAACGCCTACCGGAACCGGCACGGCGTCGGCTTTGTGCTGCCAAGGTGTTGAACCACCAAACGCGAGTTGCTCCGCGATGTTCAGCGCGATCGCGGTCTTTCCCATCGAAGGACGAGCCGCGAGGATCATCATTTCTTCAGGCTGGAGTCCAGAGAGGAGCTCATCAAGATAATCGAATCCAGTTGGGAGTCCAGTTACCGTCTTTCCCTCGGCTTGCTCGATGCGGATCATCTCCTGCATCAGCAGCTCCTTGAGTGAATCGGGTTCCGCGTTGATGTCCTCGCTCGCGATGTCGAAGATTCGCTTCTCCGCTTGATCCACCACATCCTTCGCAGCGCCGGGAGATCCACCCCCCTGCGTGTACGCTTCGTACATGATCTGACCCGCCGCGTCGATGAGCTTACGGAGCCGACAGCTGTCCGCGATCAGTTTCGCGTAGTACGGCGCATTGGCAGCGCTCGGGACGGCTTCCGCGAGTTCCATCAAATAAGTCGATCCGCCAACCTGATCGAGGACCCCCTTGGCGCGCAGGCTTTCCGCGAGCTGGACGAGATCCCCAGTCTGATGCGCTTCGAAGGTTTCGAGCAGACACGAGAAGATGGTGCCGTGTGCTTCCTTGTAGAACTGCTCTGGAGTCGAGACGATCTCGACGATTTCTGTCAGGGCCATCGGATCGAGGAGGATCGACCCCAACAACGAGCGTTCCGCATCGATGTGGTGGGGGGGAGAGCGATCGAACAACTCCCCGGCGTCAATCGTCGGCTTCCGCTTCTTGCCCCAAGGCTTGGTCTCTTGGCCAGCAAGGTAGTTGGATTGGGTAGTCGTCTCACTCACAGCAGATATATTGGCATGCTCACCCCGCTCTGTCAGCATCCATCAGTTTATTCACATCGAATTGTCCCCCAATCCCCCATAGAATCACACGATGAGCGAACAAACCGAAACTGTCCACTTTTACGACGAAGGAGAACGGCTCCCTGACGATCTTCCCTCGTCACCATTCCCCATCTTCAAGCAGTGGTTCGACCAAGCGTGGGAAGAGCGGGTCACCCCCAACACCAACGCGATGACCCTCTCCACCCTCCACGACGACGGCTTCCCCGATGCTCGGATCGTCCTGTGCAAAGAAATTGAACCCGGCAACGGATCGATTGTCTTCTACACCAACTACAACGGCGCGAAGGGTAAGCAGCTCGAAGCAAACCCATTCGCTGCTGTGGTCTTCCACTGGGATCAGTACGAAAGACAGGTCCGGATCCGCGGCCCTATCGTCCACGCGAGCGAGGAAGAATCGGATCGCTACTTCGCGTCGCGTCGATTGGAGTCCAGACTCGGCGCGTGGATCAGCGATCAGTCCCAGCCCATCGAGTCCCGCGAGGCGCTGCTGAACAAGGCATCGGAAGTGATCAGTAAACTGAATCTCGATGCGTCAGCACTGATGAACGGCGAGGACATCGAGATCCCGCGTCCACCCCACTGGGGAGGTTTCCGGCTCCACGCGATGCACATGGAACTCTGGGCCGGCGGGGTGGGACGGATCCACGACCGCGCGCGTTGGACGAGGGACCTGCGGATCGAGAACGATCAACCGATCGCAGGCGAGTGGTCATCGACGCGGCTCCAACCCTGATACTGAACTCAAATCATCGAGCGGATGAGCGCGTTGCGGATGCGGTCCCACGTGCGATCATCGACGGGCTCGCCGGTCTTGGTCGCGATGCGTGCTTCGGCGAGTCTTTCCAGTTGTGTCCAGTGTCCCAGCAGGACGCGCCATGCCCAGAACAGTGAACGCTTGGGATCGTACAGATTGGTCGGCTCACTGGTGAGTCCGTTGAGTTCGACGATCCCGAACCCTTTCCCTTGCGCGAGCTCATCAAGCGAGGCGCAGCGGAGATCGAATCGACCGATGTCAAACCCGCTGCCGGCGCGTTGATCGAAGCCGTTGATGATCTGGTTGATCCGATCGGTGAGTTCTGGGGTGATGAGATGCTCGCCGTCGGTGAACTTCGCGCCTTGCGCGTGGTTGCCCGCGATCCCGAGACGGACCTTCTGTCCTTTATCCGGAACCCAGTTGAGGCGCGTCTTGTTGTGCTCGAAGAACACGCTCGGCTGAGCGCGGTGGCGCTTGTGCGAGAGGATGAGCTTGCGGAGCGTGTGCTTGCCGTCACCTCGCAGGGTTGGGAAGTGCTTGATGGTGATCGCGTAGATATACCCGCTCGGGCCGTCATAGTCTGGATCGCGGATCGCTTCCTCGTGTCGCATCCACAGCACCCCAAGCTCGTGGGGACCGGGATGGAACTCCTGGAGCACGAACGGCTCTCCTGAAAACTCGCAGTATCCGCGCACGTCATCAATGGTCTTGAGCAACTTGACGCCGCGGCCTTGCTCGCCCTCATCAGGTTTGGCGATGATCGGGAATCCCCCGAGTTCAGCGTCGTCTTCGATCGCGCTCAGCGCCGCTTGCGTGCGAGCGTCTGCAGTAGATTTGTCGATAAGCACGCAGTGGAGGACGGACTCTTCGGGATCGTCGCCGTCCCCGAGCTTGGTGTTGAGATCGATCTTGGATTCGCCTTGCACGCCGCCGTCGTAGGAGTATCCGGGATTGACCGCGGTGAGTGGTTGGAGTCCGCGCCGGATCATGCGTTTGACACCCCACCAGAGGACCGGCATATAGATGATCACCCTCGGCCAGTACTCATGATTCGTCGCGCGTCGGAACCAGCCCTTGATGCGTTGGCGTCCTCCCCAAGTGATGATGAGGCGCAAGCCGTGCACGACTACCAGCGTCATGACGCACCCCAGCGCCAGCCCAACAACCCCAACACGCTCGCTCAGACCCACGGCCCATCCCGCGACGATCATCCCAACAAGCATCGCGGGAACCACAAACAGGATCCCCCTGACCCATCTCCACGCACCGAGCGGACGTTCGAGTGCATTAGCGCCACGAACGAGCCACCACGTGCGTCCGACGAGCAGTCCGAGGATCGCGACCGCGAGATCGATCCGCATCATCACGACCATGATTGCCGCAAGCACTATGGTGACATGAGGCAGGTATCTGGTCAGGACGATCAACCCAATGAGTTGCAACCACCACGGGATGGATTTAACCAACGAGCCGATCCAGTGGAGCAGTGCATCACCGCCGTGGCGTGTCGGGACGGGCGCGAGGTTCAGGTAATCCGTTTGTGGTTCTACTCCAGGCGCATCGTGACGATCGAAGAATTCGTTGAGATACCCCGCCGTCTCCTGTGCCTGCATGAACGGCAGGAAGTGCGACGCGTCGAGCATGACGAGTCGAGAGGTCGGCATCATTTCGTGGTGCTTCTCCGCGCCACTCGCCGCGACGAGCGGATCATCACGTCCGTGCAGGATGAGCGTCGGAGTCTCGATGCTCGGCATGATCCGCGTCAGCTCGCGCTGGTCCGAGTCCCAGAACGCTTTGAGCCATCCCGCTCGCTCTTTGTATGTCCCCAGGTATCCGAAGTGCGGAATGAGTTCCGGACCAACTCCCAATCCAGCTAATCCCACCGCGTATTTCACGTGCTCAAAGAAGTACGATCCGCTTCCCTCGGTCTCCTGCGCCCCTATCGAAGCGAGCAGTGTGATCGACGCGATTCGATGAGGGAACTGGTGCGCCATTTCCAGTGCGACACCACCGCCGGAGGACCAGCCGACAACATGGACACGATCGATGTTGAGGTGGTCCATCAGATTGGACATATACCGGGCTTGCGAAACATACGACATGTCCGGCGCCCAATTACTCATTCCTGATCCAGGAAGATCCGGCACGACGACTCTGCGTCCGGATAGTTGGATCATCGGTGCGAGAGTCTGGAAGTTTCCCCCATTTCCAGGCGAACCGTGAAGCAATATCACCGGCAGCTTCGGAATCGAGTTGGATTCTTGGATGATGCGCACATCCCCATTGATCGCGTGCTCACTTGAGGGCAGCGGCGGTCGAAGATACTCGTCGAAGTAGATCTCTACCTGGTTTCCAAAGAGTGCGTGACGATGCTCGCCGAGTGCGTTCAGTCGAATAGATGAACGATCACTTTCGGTATGCTTAGATGAAGATTGATTGCCTTGAAAGAGTTGAGATGCGATCAGCAAAAACACATACACAGTGATCAATGCGATCCAAACTCGTCTTGAATGACGGCTCTTTGGTTCAGTCATGTGGACCCTGTGAGGCTTCGGATTCGACAGTCATCGGCACAAACGCACGCTTGCGGATCTCCGCGGTCCCAAGCTGTCCGCACGCGGCCATCGTATCGCGCCCTTTGGTTTTCCGCCGATTCACGAACACGCCTTGGGTGATCAGGCGATCGACGAAGCGGTCAACCTGCGTCTCAGTCGGAGCGGGCCAGGGGGAGTCTCTCCGTGGGTTGTAGGGGATGACGTTGAGAAGCCCGCCGTGCCCCTTCGCTTTCTCGCGAGTGGGGTCTTTGAGGAATGGCTTCATCCACCGCGCCAGCTCGTCGGCGTGCTCGATCGCATCGTTGACTCCCGGGATGAGGACATACTCGATCATGATCTTGCGCCCGCCTCGGACTTCTCTGAGTTCTTGGAGGATGTTCTGGAGCTCTTGCATGTCCCACTTGTTGTTGATCGGCATGAGCTGTGAGCGGACCTCGTCGTTGGACGCGTTGAGCGAGAGCGCGAGTCCCAAGCGCTTCCATCCTTCTCGCTGTACCTGATCCTTGATGCGACGGAGACCATCGACGCGACCAACAGTCGAAATGGTGATGCTTGCCATCGGGATGCCGATACCGTAGCGATCGGTCAGACACTCGATCGCAGCAAACACCTCGTCGAGATTATCCAGCGGCTCTCCCATCCCCATAAACACAATATTGTCGATCTCGATACCTTCGATGAACCGCGCCGCCCACCACTGCGCGACGATCTCGCTCGCAGAGAGCGAGCGGATCAGTCCCATCTGCGCTGTTTCGCAGAAATCGCACCCCATCGCGCAACCGACCTGCGAACTCACGCACAGCGTGTGGGTTTTCTTCCCAGACCTCCCGAGCATCGGGATGATGACGGACTCGATGTCGTCGAAGTCGATCCCGCGATGCGAGAGTCGATGCTCTGGATTGTGGAGGCGCTGGACGAACTTGATCGTCGTCCCCTCGTTAACCGGTTCCTCGTGGCGTTTGACGATCTCAGGCAGCGTGATCTTCGCGGGCGCCGAGTGCGTCACTCCATCACGGAACACGGCTTTGTACGCTTCGAGCGCCCGGCCCGGTCCGACGCGTTCCTCAGCGCAACGCCGCTGGAACGCTTCGAGCGTCATCCCGAGCGGGGAGATCGGTTGGATGTCGTCAGCGCGGGCCATGCATCAAGGATAGTCGAGGGGCACGAAAAAACCCGCCGAGCGTGCTCGACGGGCTGGAGGGAACAACAGGTTTGATTACTCGTCGGTGTCCTTGACCATCTGGTCAAGCATCGTGCCGATGAGCGCGACCGTTTCGCCGTTGCCATCGGAGCCGCTGCCGTTGGAGACCATCACGCGTGGTGTGATCTCGATGCCCTTCTCGCCGATAACGCGGAGCACCTCGATCATCGCGGCGTTCGCTTTCCCGATCTGATCCGCGATGAGCTTGTACGCGTTTGCCTGCGCCTGTGCCTCGATCTGGATTGCCTCGGCTTCGGCCTTCGCTTGGATGATGCGCTTGAGCTGGTCTTGCTCTGCGATCTGGACCTCGTACGCCGCGGTCGCGAGTCGTTTTTCTTCCTCGGCTTCCTGGAGCGTCTTGGAGAGTTCCTTCTGCTGGACAGCCGCTTTCTGCTGCTCTTTGAAGGTCTCTTGTTCCTGGACCGCGATCTCTCGATCACGCTGGGTGTTGAGGAGCTGTCCGAGTGTTTCCTCGTCACCGACATCACCGATGCGGACGCCGGTGATGGTGACTCCGGAGCGCGCCATTTCCTTCCCGATCATCGCGAGGGACTGGGATTCCTGCGTCGAGCGTTGGTTCACATAGTCCAGCGCCTTCACGTTCTCCGCGTTGTTGCGGAAGATCGCACGAACGGTCGAGTTGAGCTTCGCGAGCAGCGGGGCGCTGTCGGAGCCGAGCTTCGCGACGACGATCGGTGCGTTTTTGGGTTCGATCTTGTATTCCACGCGGACATCGACCGGGAAGGTAAATCCGTCGGAAGTACGGACGGTGATCTCTCGCTGCTCGTTCGCGTTTGCTTCGCTTCGGTTCATGCCGTTCTGCGTGAGCAGACCTTTTTCACCAGCGGTAAAGCGGATGATGGTCTCGCGCGTGGAGACAATCGCGACGGAGTACGCCTTGGTGTTGACCGGATACTTGCCGGGCTGGAGCGCCTCAGCGAGGATGCCCTTCTCTCCAGACTTCGCGAGGATCACCGGCTCATCGCCCTCGCTGACCGGAGTGTTGAGCGTGGGTTCATCGCCAAAGTTGCTCTTGAGCACCGCAACAGTCGCCGGCGGGACCTCAGTGGTGTCCACCATCGTGACCATGAACAGTTCAGGATTCAGACGGTACTTACCAGGAGTCAGGATGTTGGACTGGGGACCCTTGCGTCCCTGACCATCGGTCAGGAAGAACTTGGGGTCTTCCACCATCTGCTTGAACTCCGCGTTGGAGACTTCTGGCGCAAAGACCTGTCCCGGATCGAGCGGCAGCCCGTCGCGTGATTCAACTAGACCGATCTTGTCAGCCGGGATGTCGATCAGCGGACGCGTGTCCACGTCGTAGAGCACGGGCCAATACCAGAGGTGCCAACCCGGCGCGAGGACATCGGCTTGGATACCCATCTCATTGTCTGTCGCGAGGATCTTCCCAGGAGGGAGCGGCGATCCCAGTGCATTCTTCTTGACGACACCCACCGACGACGCACCCACATAGCGGACGGAGGACATCGCGAATCCCAAGATCAGCACGATGAACGCAAGCAGGATAATTCCACCTCTTGCACTCTTATTGGGGACACGGAAGGCCGAGGCGGCGATCATCCCCGCGAGGATGATCCCGATCATCAAAAAGACGCTTGACATGGTTCTTCTCCATCACCCGATGCGCTCGTCATGGGCGCCCAAGGGGTTTCCTGTATGGTACCGGTGATGGAGCCCAAAGCGCACTTACAGCACTCCCGACGACTACGATCCACACCAGTCGTAAGCGGTTCTCCCCATGTATTGGGAAATCCGCCGATCGACTTTCACCACCAGAATCCAGAATCCGAGGCCCACAATGACCTGGCTCAAGATTAAAGACGCATTCCAAGCCCAGCCCGGACAGACGATTACCGTCAAGGGGTGGGTCCGCACCAAGCGCGACTCCAAAGCCGATGGCGGGCTCTCCTTCATCGCTGTCCACGACGGCACGTGCTTCGATCCGATCCAAGCCGTCGCTCGTCATGACCTCCCCAACTACGACGAGGTCAGCAAGCTCAACACCGGATGCTCCATCGAAGTCACAGGAGAGCTCGTCGCTTCCCAAGGCAAAGGACAGTCCGTCGAGATCCAGGCGCAGGAAGTGAAAGTTGTCGGTTGGGTCGAGGATCCCGACACCTATCCGACAAGCAACAAGCGCCACTCCTTCGAGTACCTCCGCGAGGTCGCGCACCTGCGCACGCGGACCAACACCTTCGGAGCCGTCGCTCGCGTGCGCCACGCGCTGTCGCAGTCCGTCCATCAGTACATGGACGAGCTGGACTACTACTGGGTCCACACCCCCATCATCACCGGTTCGGACTGCGAGGGGGCCGGGGAGATGTTCCGCGTGTCCACCTTGGACTTCTGCAACATCCCCAAAACCGAAGACGGCGGCGTGGACTTCAGCAAGGACTTCTTCGGGAAAGAATCGCACCTGACCGTGTCTGGTCAGCTCAATGTCGAGACCTACTGCTGCTCGCTCAGCAGGGTTTATACCTTCGGCCCGACCTTCCGCGCCGAGAACTCGAACACCTCGCGTCACCTCGCGGAGTTCTGGATGATCGAGCCGGAGATCGCGTTCGCGGACCTGCACGACAACGTCGAGCTCGCGTCGGGGATGCTCCGGCGCTGCGCCAGCGATCTGCTGGAGAAGCGGATGGACGATCTGGAGTTCTTCGATCTGCGAATTGAAAAAGGCGTCATAGATCGTCTCAAGATGATCGTGGAGTCTCCTGTCAAGACCATCACCTACACCGAAGCGATCAAGATCCTCGAGGGCTGCAACGAGAAGTTCGACTACGACGTGAAGTGGGGCAGCGACATGCAGTCCGAGCACGAGCGTTACCTCACGGAAAAACACTTCAAACAACCCGTCGCGGTGATCAACTATCCCAAGGACATCAAAGCGTTCTACATGCGTCTCAACGATTCGGGCACCGACGGCGCTCCGGCGGACACCGTCGCGGCGGTCGATATCCTCGTCCCGGGCGTCGGCGAACTCGTCGGCGGCTCGCAACGCGAGGAACGCCTCGATGTCCTCGATCAACGCATCGACGAAATGGGGCTGATCAAAGACGACTACTGGTGGTACCGCGATCTTCGTAAATACGGCACCGTCCCCCACGCCGGGTACGGACTCGGTTTCGAGCGCCTGATCCAGTTCTGCACAGGGATGCAGAACATCCGCGACGTGATCCCGTTCCCACGCGCCCCGCGTCAAGCGGAGTTCTAAATGCATAGGTTCGTGCAGACACTCGTATGTGCATGCATTGTCTCAATCGACCAAGCGTCGATCCCATCGCAGCGTGTGCATGAGACGCTCAGTCTTATGGAAGACGCTGTCCGTGCGGATGATATCGGTGCGTTCATGTCGCAGGTAAGCACCAAAGACCCTGTGCTCACGACGGAACTTAGGGCATGGTTTGAGGATATGACGATCAATCCAGTCACCGAGTTCGAGATCGAACCGATGGAGGACCTCATCGTCGGGATCACGGACCAGGTCGCAATGATGCAGATACGCATGCACTGGACGCTCGAATCCGACTCCATCGCTCGCTCAAACGAGTTCAATGCGCTGTTCGTCCCGATGGGTGGTGAAGCGAGTGGCCCCTGGCTCTTCGCGGGAAGAGCGTGGGAGTTCAAGCACACAAGCGACGAAGGACTCCGCGTGATGTCCTCCAGACAGCACCACGAACTCGCGAAGAACATCGCTGAAGTGGTCCCGAGTATTCAGAGCAAGATCGAAGACGCGATGGACTGCGATGTGCATCATCCGCTGACGATCAAGATCTATCCGGCGATGCAGGATTTGCAGTTCTCGATCTCGATGGGATACCTCAATCCAATCGCAGGATGGAATGAGCCTGGAGAGTCCATCAAAATTCTCGGACGCGAATCAACTTCCGTAGAAGACATATCGTCATTGCTGGCGCATGAGATCGGTCATGCTGTGAGCTTCGAGTTTGGTGAGCAGATCATCAACGCGCCGTGGTGGTCGCTCGAGGGGATCGCGGAGCTCGTCGCGGATGAGTACCGATCAACCTCTCCAGAAGAACGCGAGCTTGCGATCGCAAAGCAGATCGCGCGAGGTGACCGACGCACATGGGACCAACTCTCCGATTTCAAAGGCGAAGCGCTCAATCATTCGAGCTATGTCTACTCGCAAGGATGGTCCATGATCCGCTACATCACCAACCTCTACGGCCGCAACGCACGCAACAAATGGTTCTCCGAAATGGGTAAAGGTGTCAGCGTCGAGGAGGCAACGCAATCCGCTTTGGGATTGAGCTTTGAAGACCTTGATCTCGCATGGGAAGCAGAGATGCTGTCGATCGCACAGCAAGCAGTATCAGAATCGGATTAAGAATCAGGCAGCACGCTGCTCGGCTCTGGATTGATCGGCTCGCTCGCATCAATCACACGCGTTGGTGCTGTGTCAGGCTGCGGAATGTGTGGCGAGCGGAACATCATCAGGTAGATCCACACTACCATTGCGAGGAACCCTGTCCACAGCGCGATATATCCAACCGCGTTGCGGATTTCGGGAGATTGTTTCGCGAGCGGCTTGGAAATCACGAGCACCGCTTTGGCGCCAAGAGGGCGCGCGTGTCAATGTCAGAACGATCGCGGTGCCCATCCCAGCCGCGACGGCATCCATGGTTTTGCCCTTGAATGGGTCATACCGATCAATACGAGGTCGAACGATTTCAATAGATCGTTCAAACCACGCGGGAACAGCAATGGGTTCAGCGGCTTCAATTTGTTCGAGCGCTTCGATCTCTTCAAGAACCTCGCTGTCAGGTTCTGTTTTCGATTGCTCGGCTTCAGTATGTTCTGTGGGTGGAGGCGCTCCATTCTCAGAGACAAGCTCGGCATCCGCTTTCTCAGGTGTTTCATTCTCGGTTGACGCTTCCGGCTCAGCAGTCGCTTCTGGTGTACTCTCTGTTTCCGATGCAGTGTCAGTGTCTGAATCCACACGCTCTTCAACTGAGGTTTCTACAGCATCACTTTCGAGGATCTCTCCAATAGCTTCCTCGATCGATGCTTCATTTTCAGTAGTGGACTCTGCAACAGGTTCCGATTGTTGCTCATCGCTTTGGAGTGCCGCTTCCACTTCCGTTGGGACCGCATCTCCGCTGACAAGCTCTCCATCCTCAGTCTCGAAATCTCCTTCGAGCATGTCGTCCGCGGCTTCTGCGAGCGCTGAATCAAGCAGATCCATCGAATCATCAATCGACTCCGATGATGCTGTATCCTTCTCGATTGTGAGTGCCGCCTCGATCTCTTCAAGTGATGCGGATTCGTCGTCAGATTCTGTAGAGTCTTGTGCTGATCCGACAGGATCTTCATCGGCTTGGTCTGTTTCGGAATCTGTCTTCGGAGACAGCATCGCTTCGAGTTCTTCATCAACTCCAGAATCTTGCGAATCTTCTTCAAGCAGTGCATCAATCGCGCCTTCCAGAGCGTCGTCTGTTGTGTCCGTGCTCTCTGGGTTCGATGCTTCATGTTCTTCTTCAGTGCTCTCACCAGCCGCGGCTTCGATCTCGCTGCTCTCTAGATTGAGCTCAGAAGTGTCGGTCGTCTCATTGTCAGCATCGCTGCTTGCTTCCGCAGAATCTAGCAGCGCATCGATACTCTCCTCCACCAATCCCTCGGCTTGCTGCTCGATATCCTCGATCGCATCGAGCGCCTGTTGAGCGCTCTCAATCGAGTCGGTTGGAGCTTCTTCCGTTTGATCTGCAGGTTCAGGATGTGGTTCGGCGACCGCTCCATCGTCAGTCAGCAGCGCGCCAGACTCCACCGCGCGTTCCTCTTCTGGGGTGTACGCCTTCGCGGTTTCTTCGATCTGTCCGAGCAACTCGTCGACCTGCTCGATCAGTTCGGGTTGGATGTCTTCAGTTGAATCTGACACAACATGCAGATGATCGACCCAATTCCCCTCGAACTCAAGAGATATCGGCTGTAAACTCTTGGATATGAATCCATTGGGGTCGCATCCCGAACCACACAAGAACGCATGACCACACCCACTCCCATCCATCATCGTGTGATATTCTCGGACCTGCGTGGCTGCCGCTGCCCGGAACTGATCACAATCGAGGGTCCAGAAGCGCAGCACCTCGCTCGCGTCAAACGCGCTCGCATCGGAGAAACGGTTGGGGTCCTGGATGGTCAGGGCGCGATGGGATTCGGAGAGATCGCCGAGATCACAGGATCCAAGCAGCGTCCGATGGTCGCGATCCTCCTTGATCACATCGACATGATCGCGTCAGTGGAGCCTCGCATTGAGATCTGCTCAGCGATCCCCAAGGGAGATCGTCTGGATCGGATGATCGATCAGCTCACACAGATCGGGGTCGAATCGTGGAGGCCGTTGATCTGTGATCGCTCCGAGCGTGATCCCGACTCCATCCGGACCGATCGGATCGAGCGAATCATCAACGAAGCGTGCAAGCAGTGCATCCGCGCCCGCTCGCTGATGGTTCAACCCCCGATGACCTTTCCTGAAGCACTCACAAACACTGATGTCCCAACGATCATTTGCGACGGATCTGGACAGTCAACAATCGTTCCAGTCAAGGACACGCGATCTAGGTTACTCATTGGTCCTGAGGGGGGATGGTCCGACGATGAACGAACAGCGATGCGCGAGTCTGATGCACAGATATGTCGCATCGGAGTCCATACCCTCCGATTAGAATCCGCCGCAGTGGTTGCTGCTTCTATTGCGTTGTCAGCTGCTCACTCCCCGATCCCGTTTGGAGCTTCCGAATGATCCGTAATATATTCTCATGCCTAGTCCTCTGCGTAGCCGCTCTCGGCTCCAGCGCTGAACCGCTCGATCCACAATGTTATGAACGAGGACGAGCGGTCGTCGATCGCGCGATCGAGTATCTCAAATCCACACAGAACACAGATAACGGCGGATGGTCGCACAACCCTTCGGGACCGAACCTCCCCGCGATCACCGGACTTGTTGTGAATGGCTTGCTCCTGGATCCACGCATCGACGCGAGTGACCCAACGGTTGAGCGCGGCATCGACTACATCCTCTCGTTCGCCAAAGACGACGGCTCGATCCACGACAACATGCTCCCGAGCTACAACACCGCGATCTGTGTGAGCGCCCTGAGCCATGCACGCACACATCGCGCCGATTCAGCACTCGCATCAGGGATCGCGTTTCTCAGAACCGTCCAGTATCACAACAACAACACGGGCGGCATCGAAGCGCCAGACTTCAAAGAACCCGTCGATCCCGATCATCCCTACTACGGCGGCGTCGGCTACGGAAAGCACGGTCGTCCCGACCTCTCAAACCTCAGCTTCTTCCTCCAAGCGATGCACGACGCGGGAGTCTCGTCCGAAGACCCCGCATACAAGCGAGCGCTCGTGTTCCTCAAGCGCGTGCAGATGGACGAGGACATCAACGAGATGCCGTACGCAGACGCTTCCAAGCAAGGCGGGTTCATCTACGCGACCGTCCCCGACGCGGAATCCGTGGACAGCATCCCGGGACAATCGCAAGCGGGGGGGTTCAAAGAAACCACCGCAGACGGAAGCTCGATCACACGCCTCCGCGCCTACGGCTCCATGACCTACTCCGGATTCAAATCGCTCCTGTTCGCCGACCTCCCACCCAACGATCCGCGCGTCCTCGCGGCGTGGAGATGGATCGAATCCAACTACTCCCTCGAAGAAAACCCTGGGATGGGTGATCAGGGATACTACTACTTCCTCTGCGCCATGGGACGCGCCCTCGATGCCTACGGCTCAGACACCGTCGCGGATCACGACTGGCGCGTCGATCTCATCAGCACACTCGAATCACTCCAGCAAGACGACGGATCCTTTTCGATCAAGCACGAACGCTGGATGGAGAATAACCCAACACTCATCACCGCGTACGCACTCATCGCGCTCCAGCATGCTCTAAACTAAGATATTTGAAACCATAGATTCAAACGGAGAGACCCAATGACCACCGCAAGCCAAACACTCCCGAAACACTACACCGACCTCTGCGCCTTCAAACGAGAAATCGGGAACCTCGGATCCGTCGCCGCCCTCGTCGGATGGGACCAGGAAACCTACATGCCCCACGGCGGCGCCCGCGCTCGCGCCGAGCAGTCCTCGCTCCTAGCGCGTCTCCTCCACGAACGAGCATCATCGACCAAGCTTGGTGATCTGCTCGCGCAGTGCGAAGCGGACTCATCCCTCAACGATCGGACCTCAGAGCACGGCGCAAACCTTCGCGAGATGCGCCGCGACTATGACAAAGCGACCAAGCTCCCTTCGGATCTCGTCGCGAACCTTGCCAAAGCGCAATCCGAAGCGCAGGATGTCTGGAAGGTCGCTCGTGCCAACGATGATTTCAAGTCCTTCGTCCCCGCGCTCACCAAGGTCATGGACCTGACCAAAGAGAAGGCATCGTGCCTCAAGACCGACGAGCACAACGAGCTCTACGACGCGCTGCTGGGTGAGTACGAGCCGGGAGAGAAGGCGACGGAGATCGAAGCGGTCTTCACCCCTCTCCGCGATCGTTTGAGCGCGTTCATCGCCGAGCTCCGTGACAACGGCACTCCCCCCAAAGTGGACTTCCTCCATCGCGAGATCCCAGTCGAGAAGCAACACGCGTTCGGACAAGCCGTGACCGCCGCGTTCGGATTCGACTACAAGAAGGGGCGCCTCGACACGACCACCCACCCCTTCTGCTCTGGATTCGGTCCCGGCGACACACGTATGACCACGCGCTACTCGCTGACCAACTTCCCCGATGCGATCGGTTCAACGATGCACGAGTGCGGGCATGGTCTGTACGAGCAAGGCATACCCAAGGAATCTGGTCTCTTCGGCACGCCGCTGACCGAAGCGATCTCGTTGGGAATCCACGAATCGCAATCCCGCATGTGGGAGAACATGGTCGGACGGAGCAAAGCGTTCTGGACCTGGGCGCTGCCGCTCGCGAACAAGCACTTCGACGGCGCCTTCGACGACATCGATGTCGAGACCTTCACCAAAGCGATGAACACCGCGACGCCGAGCTTCATCCGCGTCGAGAGCGACGAGAGCACTTATAACCTCCATGTCATGCTCCGCTTCGAGCTTGAGCGTGCGATGCTCCGCAATGAGCTCGCGATTCAGGACCTCCCCGAAGCGTGGAACGCGAAGTTCAAGGACTTCCTCGGACTCGACGTCCCAGACGACGCAACGGGATGTTTGCAGGACGTCCACTGGAGCTTCGGTCTCGTGGGATACTTCCCGACTTACTCGCTCGGGAACCTCAACGCGGCGCAGATGTGGGAGACGATCAACGAGCAGATCCCAGATCTCGACGACCAGATCGCGCGAGGCGAGTTCGGG